TGGAACTGTTGCTTTTACTGTAAGGCAAAATTATTCTTTTTCCTTTAATAAAACACATTTCATATAATATTTAGCTTAGGTTACTTCCTATTCTGGGCCCCCAACCTCCTTGGAGACATTTCTCTCAGAACTAAAAAAAATCCTGGAACCACAAATATTCACGAATCTGCTGACAGGTTTTATACAGGTAAGGGTTAATGGGACGATGACACAAGAACACTGGGGCTTCACAGGGACAAGTACACACAAATAACGGTAAACAAATACAAAACGTGATCCTACCGAGGAGGCGAAAGTGATTTTGGCAGCTTCAACCTCTCAGACAACCCCCACCAGGTTATAGCAGTGATCTTGGCAGCCTCAACCTCCCGGACAATCCCCGAGGAATTTGCACGCTACACACTATGAACAGACAAAAATCCTGAAAGAAGTGATGGAAATAATCTCGGCAGCCTCAACCTCTCAGACAACCTTTTCGGGTGACAGAGGTGATCTTGGCAACCTCAACCTCCCAGACAATCCCAGGAGCATTCACACACCCTAGAACAAAGACTCTAGATTCACCAGGAGTCCCTGCTTGTGAGCCTACTCACAGGGTCCGTCATCTGAGGCACCTCCCGCCTCAGAAACCAAGAGCTCCGGTTCCGCTCCAGAACCCTCGGGGCTACCCTGTCTGCACTAGCCCTGAGCACAACAGGGAGAGGAGTCGCGGACTCACCTTGGGATCCCTCCTATGTAGGTCTTGCTTTCTTTCACCCACCTCTTTTTGCACGCTTAGGGATTGGCAGTGCTATGGCAGATCCAGGTCGGGCCAGTAGTCTCCCCGGAGGCAAATGAAACCTCTCGCAGCCGCTTGTCGGGAGAGCCATCGATCAGCCCCAGGCCCTGTCCCAGGGCTGCCACGTCTCAAGCGGCTGGAGCTCCCTGCACGGGCCACCAAATTTGATACCACAGTAACATGGATTGGAGTCGCCTGCCGCAATAGCCAATTCTGAGACGGGTGAAGTGAGCAGCAAGAGTTTTATTATATATCGATATATAGGAGACAGAGGGGAATAGATGCCTCCGAAAACTCGTCTCCTCCACTGGAGATTGGCCGAAGGCTTTTACAGGGATGGGATTATTGGTTTTAGAAGTTTGTGTTAGTTCCCTCTTGAGGTGGTCATGTCCCAAATGAGTTGATCTTTTCTTGGGGGTTATCTGGCAAAATCCTGGTTTTCTTGTCCCAAGATGGGTTCTTTGTTCGGTTTGTCATTCCTAGATCATTATCACTTGTTTTCCACCCTCCAAGGAGGAACATCAGTTAGTCTTAAACTTTTTATAGAGATTGGAACGGGAAGGAAAAACAAGATCATGAGACAATGCAGAGGCTGGCAATGGGGACTAATAACAGGGAGTGGGACCTATGCAGCCCCTTCCATGAATGTGCTTTGGAAAAGGCCTTTATGAAATTTTGAAACTACTTTTAACTTCTTTCTGAAGATGTCAGCTGAGTACCATAAATCTTCAGGGAAAAATAAAGTAATTCCCATAAATATAAAAAATTCCATAGCCATAGAAATTCATTAGAAATGACAGATAAAAAGTTTGAATAGAAATGCAGGAATCTAGAGGTAATTATAAATAAAAAAAAAATCTAGCAGGGCTTTTCTTTTCATTTCAAAACTTTATTTTTACAGAATGTAGACAACTTTCAGAAGTTCTTGGGGGAAGGAATGACAGGTAAATCCATTAAATCTATGCCTTCCAAAAGCTAGTCTGCAGACTACTGACATAAGCATCACCTTGGGATAAGATAGTCTCTAAAGAACAATTCAGATATATTCTGTAAAAGTCTTATCTTATGCTCAACTTCAGATCCTTCAGGGTTCACCTGTCTCTTATTCTAGCCACTGCTGCAGCAGCTAACCCTGTGAGCAATGACTGCCTTCATGCAGATGCAACTTGAGAGTGCTTCCCACCTCTTCCTTTTGCCCAAGTTGATACACCCTAGTGTGGTCAAATGCTAAAAATGAGCTGGCAAACTCAAATGCCAAAGTATATGAAATAATCTAATGTCATGATCTCTGGCGTTGTTTTTATCATCAAGGCCGTATTTTTCAACCACTAGTCCTTTTTTGTTTCCAACTTTCACACTCCAATCACCAGTAATTATCAATGCATTTTGATTGCATATTTGATCAATTTCAGACTGCAGAAGTTGGTAAAAATCTTCAGTTTCCTGGTCTTTGGAATTAGTGGTTGGGGCATAAATTTGAATAATAGTCATATTAACTGTCTTTCTTGTAGGTGTGTAGATGTTACCCTATCACTGACTGCACTGTACTTCAGGATAGATCTTGAAGTGTTCTTTTTGACAATGAATACAATACCATTCCTCTTCAATTTGTCGTTCCTGGCATAGTAGACCATATGATTGTCTGAATCAAAATGGCCAATACCAGTCCACTTCAGTTCACTATTGCCTAGGATATTGATCTTTATCCAGTCCATTTCATTTTTGATGACTTCAAATTTTTCTAAACTCATATGTTGTACATTCTGTGTTCTGATTACTAATGGATGTTTGTAGCTGTTTTCTTTTCATTTTGAGTCATATCACCTCAGGAAATGAAGGTCCTGAAAGCTTTACTTTTTCTACATCATTAAGGTTAACTCTACTTCGAGGAGGCAGTTCTTCCCCAGTTGTCTTTTGAGTGCCTTCCAACCTGAGGGGCTCATCTTCCGGCACTGTACCAGACAGTGTTCTGCTGCTATTCATAAGGTTTCCACTGGCCAGTTATTTTAGAAGTGGACTGCCAGGTCCCTCTTACTAGTTTGTCTTAGTCTGAAAGCTCCATTGAAACCTGTCCACTATAGGTGACCCTGCTGGTATTTGAAATACTGGTGGCATAGCTTCCAGCATCATAGCCACACTCAAGCCACCACAGTATGACAAACTGACAGACGTGGGGATTTTTAAGGTAATTCAACTCTATTACAGAAAAGCTTGAAAACTGAAAAAAAAAAAAAAAAAAACTTCCTACATTCTTACCATTACAGTCATGGTTATAATTTTAGCATATTTCTTTCCAGTCTTTATTTGTATGAATATTTTTTATAGTTATAATAAAAAAATGCATACAATTATATTTTTCCTTTTTCATTTAGCCTTAGATAATTATGATACTGTTGTAAATATTATCATTTTGCACCAGTATCACAACAGTAATTATTTTTACTGCATTAAATTTCATCATTTGGCTCTATCATATTTTTAATTGTTCACCTATTTTTGATTGGTAGATTTCCCCTCATATTTTAGCAAATAGAATACTTTTATAATGCATAACTTTATGCACATTCCTTTTTGGTTATTGTTGTTGGTTTGAATTTTTAAAGTAGTATATTAACATGTCAAGAATTTCAGTAAACGACCTTATTTTTCTTTCATCTCTGTTGTTGAACCTAGCAAGCCCAGTCATTGTAGGAAGAAGAGGCATATATTAATTTACCAATTATTATTCCACCCAAGATTTTATTTACTCATGAATAAGTAAAATAAAGCCATATAAAACCCGAGTGAGGTGGTAATTTTGCTTATATCTGGAGACTGGCCACAGAATAGCAGCTTTACTGGACATTGTAGAAATTTATGGTGGAAATTGGAAGTTCCTTGAAACCACTCCTGAAGCCAACTTTTCAGGCAAAGATTAGACAGGGCTATAAGACAAACAACAACACATGTGAGGAACTTATTTCTTAGTTCAGTCAAAAATACAAGACCAAATGGGCAACTCCTACCCAAAAACGAGAAGGCAAGAAGGGACAGGAACTGGAAGAATGGACACAGGTAGCCCAGGATGGAAAGGGGGAGAGTGCTGTCACATTGTAGGGGTTGCAACCAATGTCACGAAACGATATGTATATAAATTTTTGTATGAGAGACTAACTTGAGCTGTAAACTTTCACCTAAAGCACAATTAAAAAAAAAAAGAAATAGAAGGTTCTTTATCTATAGCCCTGAGAATAGACCTCCAGGGGTCTAAGAACACACTGAAATGGAATGTAGCATATTTGATGTGTGTAAGTATGTGCATTCTTGGAAGGTGAGTATCATCGGATATTCAAAGGAATCCAGTAACTAGTGGTATAAACAATGTTTGCTAGTTGAATGGAATGCTATTTTTGTGAGTTTATTGTTTGTTTGTTGTTGTTTCTTCCTCCTCTCCCTTTCCCCTTCTCTCTTTCTGTTTTGTTCATTATGTTCAGTAATAGAACTCAGAAAAATAATTTTTTGGTGAGCAGTGATTTGTCACATGAAGTTGTATAATTACGCTAACAAAAATTTAAAAAACGAACAACAACATGTATGTGAAGTTGTTTGTTGGAAATACTGCTTTAGTCTGTATTGATTTTGGAATTTTTCCATTAAAATCAGTAATTTAATGCTACTTTTCTTTGTTAAAATATTTTTTTAAAAGTATGATCAGGAAGCAGATCATTACATAAATGTCTGCTAATACAAGTTATTGTGTTTTGACAAGTCCATAATGAATCAAATGTGGAAATCATTCATAAAATACCAAGTTATCATTTTACTGTTATTTGGAAAGGTGTTGTAGATTTACTAACTTAATCAAAACTTGAGGCCTTCTAAGTTTTTGTGTGGTTAAGAGCTCGGCTCCTAACCAAAAGGTCAGCAGTTTGAATCCACCAGCCACTCCTTGGAAACCCTATGGGGCAGTTCTACTCTGTCCTGTAGGGTCGCTCTGAGTTGGAATCTGGAGGGCAATGAGTTTGCTTGGTTTTTTTTAAAGCAAAGAGATATTTTGTGCAAATAACCTTAAATCAAATTATTTTTAAATGTTAAAAATCTCTCCTTTAAAAGATAAATTTTAGTCATTATTGATTATCAAATGACAGGAACAACTTCTCTTTCTAGAGTAACAGGTATTCTAATGTGCACTGACCACCTTGTTTTTGACAAAGGATTAATCAGCATTTTATTTTTTCCTTAGGAATGGGCTGTTTTTGGGGGGCTGAAAGGAAGTTCTGGATCCTGAAAGGAGTATATTCTACTCAAGTTGGTTTTGCAGGAGGCTATACTTCCAATCCAACTTATCAAGAAGTCTGTTCAGGTAGGAAAAATTTGCTTTGTATGATTACTAGGAGGAACAAGTGAGGGCTTTTCCCTGCTGGTGGGTGATGGGGTCGTGAAAATAGAAATGTAATTTTTATGTTTCCTCAGTCTTTTTCCCATTTCTATAAGTATACTTGTTGGTCTCTCACTTCATATTTTAGAAAATAATAAACTTCCCATAGAATGTGCCATTCAGCTTTTGCTATAGACAACCCTTCAAAAACTTAGTGACTTAAAATAATCATTTATTAGCTTATATTTCTATGGGCCAGCAATTTAGGCTGGGCTCAACTTGGCAGTTCTTTTGGTCTCGCTTGGGCTCACTCATGTGTTACAGTCAACTGGTGAGTTGCCTGGGGGCTGGTCGGTATAGGATGGCTTCACCCATATGTCTGGCAATTGGTATTGGCTGTTGATTGGTGCTGGCTGTTGTCTGGGGTCACGTGGATGATTGGGCCTTCTGTGTTCAGCAGGCTGGCCTGGGCTAATTCACACTGTGGTGATTGCAGAGATGCCAGGAGTACCCAGATAGGACAAGTCCCATGCTGCTAGCAACTTCCAAGTCTGTGTTATATTTACTATTGTTTCATTAGACAAAGCAAGTTGTATGGTTTTGCCCAGAGCCATTGTGGGAGGGCCTCCCCAAAGGCATGGATACAGGGAAGTGTGAAGGAATTGGGAACCCTTATTTCAACAATCAAAAGGAGCCCTGGTTGCGCAGTGGTTAAGCACTTGGCTGCTAACTGAAAGGTTGGTGGTTTAAACCCACTTGCTGTCCCACATGAGAAAGATGTGGCAGTCTGCTTCTGTAAAGATTTACAACTTTAGAAACCCTATGGGACAGTTCTACTCTGTCCTATTGGGTTGTATGAGTCAGAATCGACTCAATGACAGTTTTTTTTAATGGGATTTCAGCAGCCTACCACATGGGACACACATGTCATATACCAGACATGTTTTTTGGAGGCGAAAACATTAAAAGTCATGATATAATATAGGGCTTGGCAAACTATGGCCTGCCAGTCAAATCCAGCCTGCTGCCTGTTTTAGTAAATAAAGTTTTATTGAAACACAGCCACGTTCATTTGTTTGTGTATTGTCTGTGGCTACTTTCATGCTACAATGGCAGAGTTGAGTGGTTGTGACAGAGACTGTATGGTCTGTAAGCCTTAAATATATACTGTCTGGCCCTTTACAGAAAAAGTTGATTACCTCTGCTTTAGGCTACCGGGAATATGCAGATTATTTCATGGCAAATTCTAGCTCAAATACCAGATTACCTCTCTGGATTTGTTTCTTTATTTCTGGCCCTCAAGGATTTCCTTTACTTTCCTGCCAGCTCAGGTAGCATTTAAAAAAAAAATAATATTTTTGAACATTTCTAATGGTGAACAGAAAATATATATTTTATTCACCATCTTAAGATTTACTAACCCCATCAAAGTTAAGAGTTCTTAATAGGGAGGGTTGATCTAGATATATAATCCACCATATTGACATAAATGAGATTTAAAAGTTATGAAGACAAATTTTATTTTTTGGAAAATAAAGGTGTGAATTAGTATATTTTGTGGATGACCCTTTCAGCTTTCTGAGGCACTGTGATTGAAGGTAGGGGAGGAGTTGGAACATGGGAATTTGTTGAATAAGAAGCATGTTGATTTGATTGCTACAATATGAATTGTAATTTTGAAATAAAATTTGAGCTGTGCAACAGTGGAAATATCATAAAAATATGTATGCTCTAGTTTTTGTTGCCTCTAAAGAAGAATTGAAATATTCTAATTTGTGTTGAGAATGTGGAGTATCGAGCAAATATCTTAATGTTTAACCCCTCCCCCCCTTTTTTCTTTTATTGCTTCTGTTTCAAAATTAAGCCAATGTTTATGCAGAGCTATAAATAGAGGGGTTCAGATGAACTCTAAAGATTGCCCAGGTGTTTCCTCTCAAGTCTCAGGAATGGAAATGAATTGATACCTTCCTGGAATTTCAGACATGACTTAATAACCTAAGAGAAAAAGGTTGCTAAGAAAATTTCCAAATGTCTACTGCTTACACTATTATTCTCTAGTAAAATATTAATAATCAGTTAGAATATTGTGATTACTTGTTTGCTCAGACTCTTTTCAATTCAACTCTTCTCCTTTACAGTGTTGTTACTGTTGGTTGTGTACCCTTGAGTTGATTCTGAGTCATAGTGACCCTATGAGAGAATTGCCCCTTAGGATTTTCTAGGCTGTAATCTTTACAGAAGCAGATTGACAGGTCTTTTCTCCTTCTGAGCAACTGGTGGGTTCAAACTGTAAACCTTTTGGTTAGCAGCTGAGTGCTTAACCATTGCACCACCAGGGCTCCTTTCCTTAACAGTAACAACATATTTGCCATTTATTGAAATCCTACCATGTGCCAGAGACTCTAATAAGCAGTTTTTGAGTCTTTGAATTTTTCCATTTGATTTAACAATCCTCATGAGTTATCCTACTCTGTATTTTACAGAGTGAGTATTGAGGCTCAGAGAGGATAAATAACTTACTCAAGGTCACAGAGCAGGGATTCTAACCTTATTTTCTCTCAGCACAAAGTTTATGCCCTTGACTATGATGCTAAGTCACCCAACTGTCATTATGTTCCAGCTCTTTTCCACCCATCTATTCTCACTTCTGTCCAGGTCACAAATTCTCTTTCATATCTATCCTCTACTATACTTTTGGATATATTGGTGTGCTTCTTAATGATTACTGTAAGGAAAATACTAAGCAATTTTTTTTTCTTTGTCTTACTGATGTTTAGAAGAAAAAGGACAAGACCCTTTTAAAAAACAGTTCTTGCTAATAGCTGGTGTGTTAGAGACCTACAGCAATGGTGAAGTACAGAACCACAGAGGCTGGTAAAGAACCCACTATTTGATATGAACACTACTGCCAAGGTAGAGGTTGCATTGGGAAGCATAGTTGTCATGGAAACCTGTTCCTGATTGGACAAAGATAGTTATGGGGTCTTACCCAGACAGAGACAGGGAAGATTTCTTTCCCCAGGCTTTTTTTCGTTCTAATCATGAAAGGGAAAAACAAAAAGGCAGAGAGAAGCTGTGATAGAAAGGTCCCTCTGGCACATAAGTTAAAGAGACTTCAGATCCCTGGGAATAGCAGGAAAGGAGAAAAAATAAGGCCCCTAGCTGGAGTAATTATGGTAACGAACTAATTAAAGATTCTTGACGAAGGTGGGGCTGGGGGAGAGGGAAAGCTGGTTATACTGCTTGGTCTCCCCTCTGAAGCCTCTGGTACTCAAAGCCTTGCCAAACACGTCAGCCCTGGAGGGGTCTCACTTGAAAGAAAGAAAAACCAAGGCTCTGCTAAGATGGGTAATAACTGCTGAGGTTTAGTGTGAGAGAAATATCAGTCTGTACTCTAGTACTTGCATTAATTTCAAAATTGCTTCTCTTGTGTTTGTAATTAAGTTTGTAAAACTTTGGTCACAACCTGTGAGTGTTGTTTGCCAAGAAAGGAAGCGTAAGGACCTGGACTGTGTGCCCCTGTTCCTTCTCTCACAGAGCAGTACCCTTGAGCCTAAGGCACCATCTGGTTTCTTGTGGGCAGGGGCCAGAATTACAAAGGAGGTACTCTGGAGGGGTAATCAAAATACACATAGCCAGCCTTACCACCTCCCTGCCCCCAACCTATTGTTGTTAGGAGCCTTTGAGTTGATTTTTGACTCGTAAGGACTCCATGTGACAGTAGAACTGCCCCATAGCATTTTCTAGGCTGTAATCTTTACGGGAACAGATCGCCAGGTTTTTCTCCTACGTAGCCTCTGAGTAGGTTCGAACCACCAACCTTTTAGTTAGCAGCTGAGTGCTTAACCATTTCACCACCAGGGCTCCTTCCCAACCTATTACCTGATGGTAAATGTCAGAGTTTCCACATACATGATGATCACAAACCAAAGAACCAAGGCTAATGTTTGTCATGCCTGCTCTGCATGGGTATACACTGTCTCATCACGTGATGAGTGAGTGAGTGGGTGTAAGTGTGCATGTAAAAGCAAGTGTGTGTTCAGAGAGACTGCATATTAATGTCAGTATGGGTATTTTTGTGTAGATACTTATGGACCAGTGATTCTTAAGCCTTAACTGGAGTTGTGATCAGGCATGTAGAACAACAGATCTACAGTGTCTAATAATAGCCATGAGAAGAGGTGACCCCAGTACTAATAACACATGATTAGAGCTGACTATGGCATGTAAGCAGAACACCCACTACCGGGCTCACTAATGGGTCTGTTACACTGCTGGGTGACTGCCTGTAGTGAGATTTGAGCCTAATGTATGTAGAAGATACAAGGGGGCAACAATTCCATAAGAATCTGGAATGCCCATTAGGAATCAAAGTATAAAATAAACCTGTAATGAGTCAGAGCAGTGATAGGCAGTCACTTAGAGAATACAGCTTGCAGGTCTGTAGGACTTTAGAGTAACCTGATGGAATGCATTGACACAGATAAAAGAAAAAATAGGACCTCAACAGGGAGCCATGACAGCCTAGAAAAGGGAGAGTCCTGCTGGTACCCTACTGTGGGCTCTGTACGTTCTGCTTTGCTAGGCAGACTCATGGAGCCTAGCACCTTTAAACTTTTATCTTGTATAACTAACTTCTCTTTTTCTGATCCACACTCTGTAGAAACTTCTAATCTTTTGTCTTCCTGTGGAGATTATTTAAGAAAGAAAATGAAACGAGACCAGGTCAGTCAGCCAGACAGTTCTGATTCTCATTTCAAAATCAATAAAATGCCATTCTGAGATGAATATCTCAGTCTATTATGAGTTCAGTCTGCATAGGTTATTCTTTCCAAATTGAATTAACTTTGAGCTGAATTAAATGATAAAAATGGAATTTTTTTGGCCTTGCAAAGCTGAAAGCCAGAAACTAGACCATCACGGTTTCCCGAAGGCTATGATGACTCCTTGATTTCCCTGGAGACTCTCTGTCCCTTACATATGTT